GACTTGCTTGGGTTGCATAGCTAATCAAAGGAGAAGCTGAGATGAAAACTGACTTCTTAATTTTGTTATTGTCAGAACATCACTGAATAAAAAAGGTAGCTCATTCATTGTTCCCACATATCATACTTGACCTTTAACTTCCATGTGAAAAAAAAATATGTGGACATTTGGCCCAAGTAACTCATAAGTAAAGATGAATTCTTGTTCATTTTCTTTTTACTCAGAGTCGTAAGGAAACATTGTATAGTGGAGGAGGAATGTTTTGAAAGAAAGGAAAAATATAAGATGGTAGAATGTTTATTTATCCAAATCAAAGCAGAGACTACTTGCAAGCACTTTACTTTTGGAAAATAATCACTTCTCATTTGTTATCCGGAGACTTTCCACAATAATATTTAACAAATGGTAAATGATTCAGAAGTTTATAATAAAAAGATACTTGACTTTCTAGACTAGCTTAATGACTAGTCTAGCCTGTCACTTGTAAATGTCAAACTTACATAATTGTGTTTTACTTGCTTCATAATCTTGTTTATGGCATGACATGTCGTATATACATTCTGTTATTACAAACATTAAACAGATTTGTCAACAAGTCATGGCAAAAGAATTATAATTCTATCTCTTTGTGAATTTCATTATGTGGAGGAGGAAAAATTAGATGTTTTTCTCCCTGTTAATTGACATGTAGAACAACTCTGTGTCCTGCTTCAGTGCTTCTCATCATTAAAAAATATATATATATATATATAGCAATGGAGGTATGATTCTGTGTCTGTCATTAGATTTATTCACTCTATGTACTTTTAATTTTAAGCTCAAATGTGGTTATTTAAAAGTTAGGAAAGGGTAATAGTGATCTGAGATATTCTGAACCCAAAAGCTATGTGGCAGGAATCATGTTGGGTAGTTTTTTGCAATATATTTTGTTAAGTGAATGGAATTAAAAAAATCTTTTTGTAATTTTGGTTTTCACACAGTATTACTATTTCTTGAATTTACTTATATGATCTCTTTGGAACACTAAATATTTCTTTTAAAGCAAATCAAGAAAAAGTATAGTAGCATCCCATTTCAAATCATGGCAAGTGAGCATGTTTTTGAAACTTTTTGCTCATATCTACAAGGGTGGGAGTGTGGTGTGCATGCACAAGTACGCCTTGTAACCAGATGCACAAGTGTATGTGAACTGTTGAGTACAGCAAACAAATAAACCCAAAAGCCCTACTTAGACATACCCCCAAAGTCAATTTTAAACCCAAAGCTGTTTTTAAAGAATTTATTAGTGTTATGTATTATTATAATTTTAATGTAATCGAGTCTGCCTTGGATGTTTTCAAAAGCATCAAATTTTTTTCTAAGTTGTGTTAATGACAACTGATAAGCTATTGGTAATTAGATTTTGGCTATGAAAGCCTTCTTCACATTGTTTATCATTCACTGTATCTGATAACCAGAAAGAAGTATTTGGGAAATTCTTAACTTTTCTAATGTCATTTTGGATTATAAAATCTTACTCATGTGAGTGTTGTGTATTTAGTGAATCATTTCTACACCAGTTAGAAAGACAGATGGATAGTGTGCAATTTAAAAATCTGTGCAAATAGGAGGACAGATGGGTGGTTTAAATGTCTCCATGAAAATGTTTGTATGGAGAGCTTGACTCCTGAAGTTATACTAAAAAATCTGAGTAATTAATTGGGAATAATAGAGTTCATATAAAAAGGAATTTTTTTTAAAAAAGTGATATAAAATAGGAAATTCATTACTACCTATTATTTTAAAACTTATAAACATCAACAAATTAGAACACAGAACTCAAATATTGTTGCTTTATTTTCTTATTATGAACGTGTGGACTCTAGAAAACTTCTTTATTGCTTGGAATTAATTTATCTGCATACTTGTACATGAACTTTTGAGCTGTGTATTGTCAGAATTTGTTGAATTTCCAGTAACAGCGACTTAAACTAGCAAACAAACAAAAAAGCCGAAAAACACCAACCCAAAGAAAAGGGCCTTGGAAGGGACTTCTCTGGCAAATGTTCAGGAACTTTCACTGCAGCTGGTGTTCAGGCATTAATGTGACTTAGCTCTCAGCCAAAAGAATGGTTCCTATTTGCTTGGGTAGGCAATTTGGATCTTGGGTGTCGGCTTCAGATGGGAGTCTCCCCCTATGTGTATGAGTAGGCATAGAGGGGGGTTGTCATTTTAGAGGTAGGCTGCAGGGCTGGCCATAGGTGTATCAATTGTACTGGATCTTGGGGACTTTTTTGAAATGTATTTTTGCAAGAAGGATGCTAAGTAGCAATGTTTATGGGTAAATAAATACAGTATTTTATGAAAAAACTGTTAAAGTAACTGAACATGTAGGAGGATGTGTTCCTGAGAATGTTGAAAGTCATTTGTGGTTAGTATTACCGAAGTGGTTTATTAATTGCTAAGTTAAAAAAAATTATCCCTCATGTCATACAGAGTTACAGCTACTCTAGGGATTTATGTTAACTGAGGCAAAGCATTTATTGGTTTCTGCATGAACATTTAAAAAAATTCTAAATTCCAATGATAGAATTTTTGAAAAATCACACAGCTTCCTTCATTATAAGAGGAAGAAATATTTAGTAAGTTTTTCACTTCAGTTATATATATATTAAAATGTATATGATTGTTTACTGGTTCATGGCATAAAATATATTATCCTGTGGGTTGTAGTCAAAAAGTGAGAAAGCCCACTTCTTTAATGGCCAACGTTATCTTTTTCTGATCCCTTCAGATTGGAACTGAATTAATATATTTGCTCTTATCTTCCCACTCTGGTATTAGAACCGCTTTCCAGTCAGCTGTGAAAGGGATTAGGAAAGATACTCTGGTGATTATTTTCTCATCAAGAAGTTCTTTATGTTATAAAGTGAAACAGGTTATCCAAGGCAAGATTTTGAGAATAACGTAGGCAATTATTAAATCCCCATGTGCAGGAACCAGCAGCTGATCTACTTTTGCTAGAGAATTATGCTCTGTAAAATATTATTTGCAGCTCCCTTAGAGAAGTCAGTGGTGGTTCAAGTACCTGGAAACACTTGAATTTGTTGGTAGTAGAGACATACCAGTCTGCTGGAAAAGTTTGTTTCCTTTTCACCAGCTAGATGGGGTTCCTGTGGCTCAGAATTGGATTGATGAGAAAGGCAAGAAAAGTGTTCTAATTCTATTGCTCTGTCTGAGCATGGTCTGAGGTCTCCTCTCTCCACAAAAACCCTGGCTTTTTCTCTGCTTTTGGCCCTGGGCTGGGACATTCTCCTGTAGGAAACACTTTTCTGACTCCTGTCTATAGGGAATACTGAGATGGTCGCTGAGCCTCAACAGAGTAGCAGCAGAGGAGAACCTCTGGTGTTAAAAGTTCTCAACAAAAGATACATTTTGGGGAGAAGATTCATTTGGGGGACTCTCCTTGGATAGTGGGCAAAAATTAATAAATATTTTGAAAAGGTTATTTCCTCAATCTAAATAATTAAAGAGGCATATTCAGTTTACAGCAAAAAAAACTGCTTAAAAATTTCATTTATTTATGTAGTCATTCATTTATATTGCCAATCTGTAAGTATTTTCTGAATGATTTTAGTAGAGGAACTATGAAAAGTTTTAGTTCCTAATATTATTATCTCTTAGACTCCTTGCATCAAGTCTAAATTTCTCTGCTTGATTTCCACATCATTCATAACCTAAAATTGCCCTACTTCTCTAGATATATTTCCTTCATTTCCTCCAAACTTGCTGTCATTGAGCTTATTTCTTTGCTTGCCTATGTAACATTGCTCTTCTCTCCATGTTTTCACTCAATATTCCAGATCACCAGCCCATAGACTCTATGTCCAAGACTCTGTTTTGCCAAATACTGAATTCCTAATGCCTAGCACAGTTCCTGGTGGTGAAGAGTTAATGATATTTATTGAATGAAAGGAAGGAAGAAATGGAGAAAGAGAGGATGAGAGGGAGGAACTATTGTCTATCCTGTCTTTCTTATACCTTTCCAGACTTGCCTCATCTTTTAAGGTCTGTTTTCTCTACAAAGTCTCCTCTGATTTCCCTGGTCTTTATTGGTGTTTCAAACACAGACCTCAAAATTTAACATTATTTACAAGCTTTCTTGTTTTCTTTGTTATACAATTTCACGTATACTGTTGTTCCAATTTGGTGTGAGCTCTTTGAATATGAGAAGGATCGTATTATGCCTGTACAATTTTTCAAAAAATTGTATATTAACCTTTATTCATCAAACCTTTACTGCAAAGCATAATTCCTTCAGAGCATTTTTTGTACATAGTACCGGCAAACAAAGGGTACCTTGCCTTAGAGCTGAGTACATAGTATATGTTCAAGAAACTTTTTATTATCTGTAAAGTATGTGAAATAACATAAAATAATGGTAACTCAGTGAAGAAAATAGAACTTGTTTTATTATCTCCTTGCTGACTTTGTCCAATGTTTTCTTCAGGGAAAGAAACTGAAAAGGCCAAGGAACGTTATGACAGAGCCACAATGAAACTTCACATGTTGCATAACCAGTATGTATTGGCATTGAAAGGGGCACAGCTTCATCAGAATCAGTATTACGACACTACACTTCCTCTGCTTCTGGATTCCTTACAAAAGATGCAAGAAGAAATGATAAAAGCACTGTAAGATACATTTCCTATTTGATGTGAAATCCCTTCGTAAAATGATTTTAACATTTTTTTCTTATCTGGTTAAACTTTTGTATAAAAGTTTTCTTTAAAGTTTTGTAAGCTGCATTGTTGAACTAGTTCAGAAGGTATTTCAAATCTGTTTTACCCTGAGTCTTCTTGATTTTCACTTCTGGTGTCCCTTTGCTTTATACTCCTCCCAAACCATCTATCTAGCCCCAAGAATGGCTTTTGTTTTTGTATGTTTTGTTTTGCTCCAGTTAGCTGGAAATTAAATTAGTGAAAAAAATCATTAGTTGACAAGTGTTAAGAAGTGGATATCTGCCTCCAGAGGCTTGGGTGTTTAAATCTTGAGCAACTGATAAGCCCAAAGAAAATACTTCTTCTGTTTATTTACCAGCTTCATGTTGTATAAGATTAAAATCAGCAAATATTTCTTGAAGTTCTACTGTATGCTAAGCACACTGCTGCTTGGGGATATTGGGATGAGTAGGCACAGTTTTTGCCTTCAAGGAGCTAACAGCAATCTTTGCTCAGTAATTCAAATGCATACATGTTTACCACATACATTGGTTCAATACAACAGAAAAAGATAAGCCACACTTTGGTAGACTTTATCTCCTTTATTAGCTAGTTTAGGTGATCCCTCATTTTCCCAGTAAAAATATAAAATGTTTTTAGTCAATTTGAATATGTAAACTTTTAAGGGTATTGATAAAATAGTGAAATGTCTACTTAAAATATTTAACCCATAAGTCTAGTTATATCTACTTTAAATTACTTACTGTTGATTTATAAATATTTTCTTTCCTACAATCATTTTATGAATCAATATTTTTTAAAACTGTCTATGCGTCTTCAGTAATAGTATCATCGTCACAAGAACATCCTTTTGAGACGTATGGTAGTTTCACACGGTGTGTTATCTTTACTTTTAAATAAATTATTTTAAATCTAGCATTTAAAAAGTCCATGCACAATATCACTGAAATTGAATCCTATGTCACAGATACTCATTCATCTAACATTAGATTTCTTTCTTTCCCTCCCCCCATTTGTCTTAAAGATGAGTGTTAATGATCTCCACATCATAACCACTTACTGTATTAATTTGTAAGAATTTTCTAGATAAGTTCATTTATACTAATATCATTCACTGTGTTCAACTGTGAGATCATAACCCCAAAGATATTTACTACATCTGTATTAAATTCTTTTGCCTCCCTCTTTTCTTTAAATTATCTGTCATGTGATTTCTATAACCATTCCAAACTAGCATTGCCTAAAGCAGTTTAAATTTAATTTTTTTACCCAAACAGTATTTTGCTACTCAAAGTAAAGGAATTGAGAGAATACTTCATAATAAGAGAGATTTTGTAGGGATTACTTTTATTAGTAATGATTTTAGAAAAACAAAAAATGCCTTATATTTACTTGTGTTACGCAGGATCAGCTTGTCTGTCTAAACTTGTTAAGGCTGCTAATGAGCAATGGTATATTTTTACAATATAGCATTCTTAAGTTGGGAATTGGATCTTTGCAATAGAATAGTTTTTCCTTTTTCATTTATTAGATAAGGCTAATAACTTTTATGAACATTTTTGCTACTAACTGGAGGTCAAGAGAAGAGATTGCAATGTCACTGAAGGTATGAACTGGTTAAATTGACTAAGTATATGAAAAAGAGCAGAGGCTTAGGAGCAAGAGAAGAACCAGGAGGCAGGGCATGTGAGGAAGTGGCAGAAGCTGAAAGAAATATTAGAGACAGGCTTTGATCCACAGTCCACTTCTGTGGTAATGTTTAGACACAGAAAGTGATTAATACTGGCTTACATTTTGGACACATTAGATGGATGTTGGAAAAGGTAATGCCTTATTCTAAATCATTTACAATTATTATATCAGATGTATGCTAATCCGTACATTTGTAAAATCATTTCACTTCGCTCTCCATGTCTGTGAAATAAGGTGGTGCATGAAATCACCATCTGTAAAAATTGGCATTACATTTCTTATGTTTATTGTTCTAAATCCTTTTTGAGCCTCTGTTTCCCTGATAAAACTTTAAAATGTAGTGAAATTTTATTTTTGTTTTCAGAAAAGGTATATTTGATGAATACAGCCAGATAACCAGTCTCGTTACAGAGGAAATAGTGAATGTCCATAAAGAGATTCAAATGTCGGTTGAACAGATAGACCCTAGCACAGAATACAATAATTTCATAGAAGTCCACAGGTATGCATGATATTTTCCTTCTTCTTTCAGTATTTATAACAGAATTATTTTTTTCTACCACATAATATTTAACTGAATTAAGATAAGAAATATTGAAGAGCTTGTTTAGGACATAAGCTATTTCAGATTAATTTGTTTGCCTTCGATTATTTCCAAAGTCCTTTCTCTATGATGATAACTAGTAAATTTATATAATCATCTTTAAAAATTTCTCAGTTGTTACTATATTATCACTTAAATCCGTATTTAATCTATGAAACTATTTTTTCCTTTTAACTTTTACATAGTGATTGTAGATGTATGGCTTTATATTGTATTAAACTTTATAATGATAATGCATCAATTACTTTTCTATGCATGCATCACCGTACTTTATACTCATTACCAGTGTGAAAAGAATAAAAGGTTAATATCTATTTTCTCCAAATGAGGAAACTAAGGCTGAAATTACTTGACTAAATCTTTGAGGCCTATGGTTTAGCTTGATTTATTCTATTTGTGTTTACTTTGTTAACTTAATTTTAAATAAGAACAAATATTCTGCCTTTGGTGTGTACTAAATATATTATGATAATGTATTCATATTGATCAGAATTATTTGGCATGCTTTATTAGAACAACAGCTGCTACGGAGCAAGAAATTGAATTTGATACTTCCTTACTAGAAGAAAATGAAAACCTTCAAGCAAATGAGATCATGTGGAATAATTTAACAGCAGAAAGTTTGCAAGTAATGTAAGTATTTAGAAAATCTGAACAGTTTAAATGTTACTGTTATTATTTATAGTTGAACTTTATCACATTTAAAATTCCAATTTTTATTTTCTTGGAAGTGATGAAAAAGTAAATTAAAAATGAACTGGTCGGAGTGAAATACTTAACTCATTATCATCAGTAATTTTGGTAATTCTGAAAATTTGAATTCTGTGTGATGTTATACTCCTTTGCCCAATTATTGCTAATATTTTATTTAGAATAATGCTTTATTTTTTTCAAAATTTATATAAATTTTTGATCCCACTTTACTCTCTAAACTTATTAGAAAAACCATTTTGGAAATGAGAGCTGGAGATAAGAAGAGACTCACAGACGTCAGAAGCATTTAGTTAGGAAAATTTGACTTTTAATTGAATTCCTTTCTCTTTAAGCAGAAATCTCTTTTAGGCTATTACATTAATTCCTTTTTCACTTTGTTGTTACTGTTGCATAAAATTTTAAGAGTTTGGCGAAATCAATGTGTTTTTCGGTTCTTTTCAAATATTAAAGGCTATTAATAGTACATTTTTAGGGGTTCATTTCTGGGCTCTCTATTCTGTTCCATTGGTCCATATGTCTGTTTTTGTACAAATACCATGCTGTCTTGATTACTGTAGTTCTATAGTATTGTCTGAAGTCTGGGAGAGTTATTCCTCCAGCCTCTTTCTTTTTC